CCTACTAGACACCTGCAGGATGGCAGAGCCGAGGGGGGCTTTGATCTGAGTTTAATGCCTCACAGTGTTCTGTCTCACATGGAGCTCACTGTGCCATGTCCATCAGGATTACTCCTACTCTACCTTGATATGCTGGAGATCTGCTCACGGCTCTGCCAGTGTCATTACCCACACTATCTCTCTCTGTCTCTCTGTCTCTCTGTCTCTCTCTCTCTCTCTCTCTCTCTCTCTCTCTCTCTCTCTCTCTCTCTCTCTCTCTCTCTCTCTCTCTCTCTCTCTCTGTCTCTCTGTCTCTCTCTCTTTCTGTACTGTAGCTACTTCTAGAGGGCTCTCTTTAGATTCAGTTTGTTTTCACAGATATGGTGTACTACCCCTGTTATTGATTGGTTTGTTATTGATTGATTAGATGTAATTGATTGATTGGTGTATTATTGATTGGTTAGATTGATTGACATTATTGATATGCTTATAATTGATTGTTTGGAGTTATTGATTGGTTTAGTATTGATTGGTGAGAGTTATTGATTGGTTTAGTATTGATTGGTTAGATTGTGATTATTGATTGTTTTGTTATTGATTGATTAGATTGATGATATAGACCATGACCTTAGCTGTTAGGATGAGGGTGTGGTTACTCACGTTGGAAGTTGTGAGGTAGAGGAGGATGGGTCTGGTCAGCCTTGGTTCCTTGGTGCCTTGCTCCCATGGGGATGGGAGCGTAACGGGATGAGCAGGAGCTGCTGACTGGAATTGACATGGGGACGGGATGTACAGTACCAGTCAAAAGTTTGGACACACCTACTCATTCAAGAGTTTTTCTTTATTTTTACTATTTTCTACATTTTCTACATCCGCATGTGTGGTTCCCACAATGAAGCATGGAGGAGGAGGTTTGATGGTGTGGGGGTGCTTTGCTGGTGACACTGTCAGTGATTTATTTAGAATTCAAGGCACACTTAACCAGCATGGCTACCACAGCATTCTGCAGCGATACGCCATCCATCTGGTTTGCGCTGAGTGGGACTATTATTTGTTTTTCAACAGGACAATGACCCAACACACCTCCAGGTTGTGTAAGGGCTATTTGACCAAGAAGGAGAGTGATGGAGTGCTGCATCAGATGACCTGGCCTCCACAATCACCCGACCTCAACCCAATTGAGATGGTTGGGATGAGTCGGACGGCAGAGTGAAGGAAAAGCAGCCAACAAGTGCTCAGCATATGTGGGAACTCCTTCAAGACTGTTGGAAAAGCATTCCTCATGAAGCTGGTTGAGAGAATGACAAGAATGTGCAAAGCTGTCATCAAGACAAATGGTGGCTACTTTGAAGAATCTCAAATATAACATATATTTTGATTTGTTTAACACTTTTTTGGTTACTACATGATTCCATATGTGTTATTTCATAGTTTTGATGTCTTCACTATTATTCTACAATGTAGAAAATAGTAAAAATAAAGAAAAACCCTTGAATGAGTAGTACCTTGACTGGTACTGTATGTCAGGCAAAGGAGGTTGGCGGCACCTTAATTGGAGAGGACAGGCTCATGGTAATGGCTAGAACGGAATAAATTAAAAGGTATCAAACTCATCAAACACATGGTTTCCATGTGTTTGATACCATTCCATTGTCCATTCCAGCCATTATTATGAGCCGTCCTCCCCTCAGCAGCCTCCTGTGATGTCAGGGCTCTGTCTGCTCTCACTGGGTACCCGGAGACGGCCACAGCCTCAGTCTCAGCCTCAGCCTCAGCACCACCACTCAGAGATGTGTGGGATTGTGTCCTCTTCCTCCTTTAAGCGCTTGAAGAAGAGAGAGTGTGTGTGTATGAGTGTGTATGAGTGTGTTTGCTTGTGTCCCTGTCCTCCACCCACCCACTCATCACTCACTCCACACCGTTTCACCACTCTTCTCTCTCTCCTCCTCTACACACTCAAGGAAAAACAAGCACTGATGACAGTGGTTGTAGCTTCGCCATTGTAGCAGTAGCCATAGTTCCCTATAGCTCCCACTCTGCGCTGACCTTTGCATCATGTGCAGATGACAAGTAATTTAGAGGCCTCTGGGAATGTGGAACCATACATTCCCCATCCCTTACACACCACCTCTCTCATCCACCAGCAGCAATAATCTTACTAACTCACGCGCCCATGCACACACACACACACCTAACACCCCCGCCACGTCACACACTCTAATCACCTGCATCATCACACACCCTGTCCTCAAACACCCAAATCACAGGAGGTGGCAAGCTGGTAAAAAAACAAGGATTTAGAGTGATAATTGCATAATCACCAGTTGTGATAATTGTAATTGATGTCTGCATAATTGCTAATTGCAGTCTTTATGGGAACCTCTTTCTCACACTCTCTTTCTTTGTCTGTAGCTCAGTGCCTGTCTCTGTCTTTCTCTTCCCTCCACTTCTTTATCTTAAACTCATCTTGTTGCCATCATTTATTCTTCTCTTCTCACATGCTGACACACCACACACGTGCACGCACGCACGCACGCACACACACACACACACATGCACACAGACCCACACATCGACCATGTGTTTCACTATAAGTATCCTCCTAGGCCTCTGTAAGCATTTCCCAGCAGTGCAATCCCAGAGGCAGCAGCAGTAGCCTGCCCACACCGACTAATCCTCTGTGAAGAGTTATGGTCCACTTCTAACAGGTTTTCTCTCTCTCTCTCTCTCTCTCGCTCTCTCGCTCTCTCGCTCTCTCTCTCTCTCTACAATAAATCGCTGAGGGTTTACTCCTGTTGCTTGTAAAATGAATGTTCACCACATCCCTCCCAGAGAAGCCATATTCTATCCTTTTACGGCCAAACTGGCTAACATGGAATATGTTTAGATACATTGCACTACTACCACCATACCTCTGCTGAAACATACATTATTTATACCATAGCTCTCAATAGTGTGATCTGTGTGGTACCAGGGGACGGCAGCTAATCCCATGTGTTTGGCTGAAGGTAGATTAGCATCAGGTCCAGAGTCCCTCAGATCAGACCACATTATGCGTGACACCTCCGAGGTGCTTTGATGATGGCGGTGGCAGCATCCATGAGGGAGAGGGTTACGCATACCGACTGTGCTAATGTGAAGAGGCATCAGGCATGTGATTGATGTCTCTTCTAGCGGCTGCAGACAGGTTAATGGTGTGATTGTGGAGGTAATCTCAGTGTTCTCTCGTTAAAGGGTGATGGAGGGCCAGGAGACCCTGTGTCTGTTGAAAATGGAGCCTGTTGCATTCACAGGTGCTGTGTGTTTTACATATGCAGTTCAGGGCCTTATTTGGTGTATGCTTCAGAGAGGAAGACAGGACAGGGACGGTGGTGTCAGTCTGAAACAGATCCTGGTGAGTTCACACAACCTGCTATATATATACTGAACAAAAATATAAATGCAACATGTAAAGTGTTGGTCCTATGTTTCATGAGCTGAATTAAAAGATCCCATACATTTTCCATACGTACATAAAGCGTATTTCTCTCAAATTTTGTGCACAAATGTGTTTACATCCCTGTTAGTGAGCATTACTCATTTGCCAAGATAATCCATCCACCTGACAGGTGTGGCATGTCAAGAAGCTGATTAAACATCATGATCATTACACAGGTGTACCTTGTGCTGTATAGAGAGCACATATTATATGCATGTGAAGGCTATTTTCTTTTTGAGAGAGAGAGAGAGAGAGAGAGAGAGAGAGAGAGGCAGACTATTGCATCTATATTGATTGGACTCCAGCCTTTCCATTTTCCATGAACTCCTGCTCGCAGCTCCGAGTGGGAGGGATTTGCTTGATCTTTATGATATTTCTTTAAACATGATGCTGTCGTTATGCCTCTTCGGGGAGGACACAAGACAATTCCAGTAAATCAAGGGCTCTCCATCTCTCTGTTTTCCACAGTTGTTACTTATAACCATCTCTAAACTGTTTCTCCACCATTCTCATAAGTGTTTTCAGTCCTCGTTCCAAATAACATTGTTGAACTGAAGTAAGACCAATAAAGAACGTCTCAGACGTAAACATGCACTTGGGCCCTTCAATAGAAGTCATTATGTCTGATCAGATAAAAATTGTAATCAACACTGACAGGAATTCTATAGAGAATAGATGACAATAATTAGAATTTTGTTTGCTCTTGGACTGGAGGGACATTTGGAGTGGACATGGCCTATCTGACACAGGAGGCACCTTAATTGGGAAGTAATGTCTGGAGCGGTTTCCATGTGTTTGATGCCATTCCACCTACTCCGTTCCAAACATTATTATGAGCCGTCCTCCCCTCAGCAGTCTCCTGCGCTATCTGATGTAGTATTTCAGAGAGTTGCTAAGCTAAGACTTTCAGCCATTGACTTCTTCTGACTTACAGTAGATAACAGGGCTGCTGGTGTATTGTAGCTGTGAGGACTGTAACCCACATACCCACCAGGGCAGATGCCCTCTCCATGGGGCCAGGTGGTGGCTAATTCCCTTCTTTGTCCGTCCTAATTAATTGTTAATTGGTTTGCATCACCCGTGGAGTGGAGAATAGCAGGAGTGGCTGGGCGCCGGTGTGATGGAGGCCACAGACACTGACCTGCCTCATAGAGCATACCACAACTGCATTTAACAGGCCAAATGTCACCTCACTACACACCGCAACGTTGTTGTTTAAGAGGCCAAATATCAGCTTGTAGTATTACCTCAGCACCTTGTTCACATAATTCAGCACACAAACCCCATCAGAGCGACATGTTGGTGATGTACTGTCATTCTGATTAGCTTCTGGAGATGGCTCAGATTTGTTTCTGTCTGTCTCGTTAGCACAATTACTGTATATGCTGGTTGTTTTCTTCATATGTCATAACAGTGTAGAATGCATGTAAATGTAGATTGTCTGTGTGTATGGGTCGCTAAATGTTCATTCAGTAAAGGTTTAGTATGAATGTTGATGCCTGAGTGTCACCCTGATGGCTGTGTCCTGTCCTGTCCTCTCCAGGTGGTCGCTCTGAACAAGCGCAGTAAGGAGGCAGAGTCTGCATTCCTGGGAATCTACAAGCAGCTTATCGAAGCCCCTGGTGAGTCTCCCACCTGTAACAAAGCCACACACATCACATCACAACAGCACAGTCACAAACAACACACAACATTACTCATGTAACAAACCTTCCATAGGAGATCACTCTCCCCAGCCAGATCAACTACACTCAAAGCCAAAGTCAACATCATTAGGCCAACGTTCTACATAAGACATGCTAAAATACAAAATGACTGTTTTCTTGCCATAGATATCCTAGATATATAAATATCCATAAGACACCTGAAGCTCTTATCTATGTTTTAGAGTTTGTGCTCTCAGTGTGGTTTCCAAGACTCTGTGTGGGGCCACTTCAAAACCGAGCGCTGGTCCTTGAGCGTTGCATTGCTGAGGAGAGACGATCCTTGTGGGGATGGGCTGTTGATTGCAGAGGGCCAATTAAAAGCCAACTGTAGCTTGTCTTAGTCTGGAGTGCAGGCCTGATGAGGCCGGCAGGGAAAGAGAGGGGGAGGGGGAGAGACTGTTTATTCTGTTTTTGTTTGGTGCCAGCACACACTATACAACATTGCTCTTTGTTGCAGGAGACAAGAGCAAAACGCACTCCAATCTCCGGCTACATCAGAGGAACAATCATGGCAAGAGTAGAGAATGCGGTTTACAGATTCAATGAATACAAGATAAAAGTGGGTGTCAGAGAAAATAGCGATGCAGCGACTGACTTTTAAAGGTCTCCATTTTACCTTGAAGTTTCCTGCTTGATATTGCACCACACACTTTGAATGGAGTTATTTTCTTGATAAGAAATGGATGTCTTTGAAGATGTGTTCAGTTTGATTTCTTGACCTATACCTGCATGTATCAAGGGCTTAATAGAGGACCCAGGAGGGTTTTAGGGGCTATATTTTGTCATAAACACATTTTCAATCAAGAGCAGACTGAACCAACAGTGGTAATGTAAGGAATGAGGACTTCATCTCTTTAATTACACAGGGCATTGACAAGAAAGAGTACTCATAAACCATGTGGCGGTTAAACTGTATCGGAACCCTTGTAGCTAGGATTGGGTTTGAAGAGTTAAAAAATAGGAATTGAACGTTTACTTTTGCTCTTACACATAAGCACATACACACACATGCATACACACGCACACACCAGAGGAGGCTGGTGAGAGGAGCTATAGGAGGACGGGCTCATTATAATGGCTGGATTGGAATCAATGGAATGGATTCGAACTGGGTTTTCATGTGTTTGATATTGTTCCATTCATTCTATTCCAGCCATTACAATGAGCCCATCCTCCTATAGCGCCTCCCACCAGCCTCCTCTGGCGTACACACGTGCATGCACACTTTCAACTCCTATTTTCTGTTCATTTGACCAATGTGATGTAAACATATATCAGTTCTCAATGATTGCCCAGGGTGGGGGTAGAGCCTTGTCGTCATGTCACAAAGCTAAAGGAGTGGGCCTCTCTGGTTACATCAGAGGGCCTTGGATTAGCATATCCAGAACACTCATCTTCCTCTGACCTTACCTGGACCTGGACCTGCGCTAGCATTAGCATCAGAGTGACTCTCACTCACCATAGTCTCTAGTCTTAGCTCTCATACTGTGTGTCACTGCAGGTCTGTGTATGGATGACTTTTCCTGGGCTTACTACACAGAAGGAGTTATTGGAGTTATTTGCCATCTAATTCCTTAATGGCATACCAATAATTGCAGTTAACTGCTAATTGCTAAAAGTCTCCAAATCTATTAATTATTATCTTTCAGATATTATTTACCTCCTATCTGTTGCCAAACAGGAGTCACAAAAAGCAGGGTAGGTTATTTTGTGTATCGGCCCCCTCACAGAATCTGCCATCTGTGACTGTGAGGTGGGCCTGCGCTATCCAACGCCTGTTTATTATTGTGCATCTCACTGGCCTGTCCAAGGTCACCCCCCTGTTCCCAGAATGGATCGCTCCAGGTACACCAGAGGACAGTCAGTTGGCTGTGGTCCCTCACTTTATTAGTCTCCTCCCTTATAAACACAACACTGTGCTGCTTTCCTACCAGTCTCCAAGCAAACAATCCAGCTCATGTATTTGTAATGTTTTGACACATGCAATTATTCTTTACACGCCGTACTCGTTAATCTTAATGTCGTTATTACTATTCATAGCCAGACATTTGTTTCTCCCTCTTATTTCATTTGAAAGTATCCCTCCATCCTGGTTGGTCTGCTGACACTCACAGGCCGTTGGTCCAATCAGAGCGGCCGACAGCAGAGGTAATGAATGCAAGAGGAGAGCCAGGGAGGGGGAGGGGACAAGGGCAGCATCTCAATATGTGACCTGTTGTATCCAGTTAACAGTGACGTTTGGTGTATCAGTTATCCACAATAACAAATCTGTTATTGGAATAGGTGCCAATGATGATGTCAGTTGCATAATGTTGGACACGCATGACACACGTTATGATGCTGCTTTCATATTCTCAGTTCATGTGAATGTTATAGACAGAGGTTATGTATCCCTGAAACAACACAGGGCTACCCTGAACAGGCTCTCAATAGAGCAGGTGTTAATCACGTCCCAATTTGGTAAAGCAAATGTGTATCTCACATCAGTGTGTTTACAAGGAGGAGAATGTTAGTGTAAGGGAAGAGAGGAGAATACATGGCTTGAAATGCTGTGTGTGTGCGTGTGTGTGTGTGTGTGTGTGTGTGTGTGTGTGTGTGTGATTTGGGTTTTGTTTTTACTGTAAAGTCAGCAAGTGTATCAAGCTCCAGCTGCTGAAGAAGATGGCTATTATTATAGTTGAAGTGTGGTGCTGTTTCCTGTGACAGAAGAATACATGTAGCATGACAATGTGACTATGCAACCTTTACCGGTATCATGAACAGTCAGTCGTACAGGGCATGCTCTTTGAGGCAACTCCAATACATCCTCTGCATTTTATGGCGAACAGTTGAAATAAGTGCTCTGAGCAATAAGAACACCTTGAAAATGTAATACTTCTAAAAATGTAATTATTGGGTCCCCAAGCCAAAAAGTCACACACCAGAATCATAATGTGCATTTCCATGCATTTAAGACATACAGTGGCTTGCGAAAGTATTCACCTCCCTTGGCATTTTTCCTATTTTGTTGCCTTACAACCTGGAAATAAAATTGCTTTTTTGGGGGTTTGTATCATTTCATTTACACAACATGCCTACCATTTTGAAGATGCAAAATATTTTTTTTTGTGAAACAAACAAGAAATAAGACAAAAAAAACAGAAACCTTGAGCGTGCATAACTATTCACTCCCCCCAAAGTCAATACTTTGTAGAGACACCTTTTGCAGCAATTACAGCTGCAAGTCTCTTGGGGTATCTCCATTACATGAAATCCAAATAAAAATCAATTTAAATTACAGGTTGTAATGCAACAAAATAAGAAATACTGAATACTTTAGCAAGGCACTGTATGTCCCTCTGCTCCATGGAAATTGTCTACACAATATTAGGCCTGAAATAAATACTTGTAAACAATGCTTCCTTGTTTAGATTTTCACCTCTATACTTTTTTGATCAGTGTAAATAAACTAGTTCCCCATCACAGGATGTGAATAACAGTGACAGTTTCCATGACTGCATTGGCTCTCCTGAGTGGCACCTCTCTCATCATCTCTCATCATCATCTCTCTCCCTCCTGTGTGAGCATCTCTGACTCTGTGGTTGCGTTTGAACCTTGGTGTTTGTAGCTGTCGCTGTGAGAGGAGGAGCTTGGCCCTGTCGCCAGGAGCGTAGCCCTGAGACTTGCGCTCCAGGTGTTTGCTCTGCCCCCTCCCCTCTCTTTACTCACACTCCTCCCTCAGGATCACCCCGTCCCTCTCTCTCGCTCTCTCTCCGTCTCTCCTGAAGAACACAGTACCTTTCATCTGAGCAGGGAGCTCACTTACTGTGTGTGTGTGTGTTTGTGTTTGTGTTGTGTATGTTTGTTGGGCCCTTTGAAGGGCTGAGGTCTGCATCAGTTGAAACATTGGGGCAACAGTGCTTGCTAGTGGTAACCAAATACTACTGCATGGTACGGGTTCCAGGTCCAGGTACAACTACACACAATTCCATCATGGCTTTGTGACTTCATTGCACAATGAATATTCATGTATTGAAGTCTCCCTGGCCTGCGAGATTGTAAGTGCAGTGCATATTGAAGTCACTTAGTAATTTCCTTTGGATCCAAGGTTGTAAGAATAGAGCATTATTGACCTTTGTGATTTGACCTTAATCTATTCAAAGAATATTATTATTGTCCCCTTGTAGCTCCCTATATACACTGAGTGTACAAAACATTAGGGACACCTTCCTAATATTGAGTTGCACCCCCTTTTGCCCTCAGAACAACCTAAATTCGTCAGGGCATGAACTCTACAAGGTGTCGGAAGCGTTCCACAGGGATGCTGGCCAATGTCGACTCCAATGCTTCCCACAGTTGTGTCAAGTTGGTTGGATGTCCTTTGGGTGGTGGACCATTCTTGATACACATGGGAAACTGTTGAGTGTGAAAAACCCAGCAGCGGTGCAGTTCTTGACACAAACCAGTACGCCTGGCACCTACTACCATATCCCGTTCAAAGGTACTTCAATATTTTGTCTTGCCCATTCACCCTCTGAATGTCTCAATTGTATCAAGGCTTAAGAATCCTTCTTTAACCTGTCTCCTCCCCTTCATCTACACTGATTTGAAGTGGATTCAACAAGTGACATCAATAAGGGATAATAGCTTTCACCTGGATTCACCTGGTCAGTCTGTCATGGAAGGACAGACTGTGGTCCTCTGTAGCTCAATTGGTAGAGCATGGCGCTTGTACCACCCATACGTAAAAATGTATGCACACATGACTGTAAGTCGCTTTGGATGTAAGCGTCTGCTAAATGGCATATTTGTTAAATATTTAAAAGAGCAGGTGTTCATAATGTTTTGTCCACTCAGTGTACATTGGCAGATGCTTGAGAGAGAGACTTATTGAGGCCTGTAAGGCATTGAGTTTTTTAAATAATAAGTGTGGTGCTGAGTACATTCCATCAGAAGATGAGAGGGAACTTGGGAGAGCTGTGTGTGCGCCATGTTTGTGGCAGTATAAAAAATTAAAGCATATAGAAGTTGATGGAAAATGAAAGCTCTTTTGGGCAGGACGAGATTCTGCACAAGTGATTAATAAGAGCAGTAATAAACAAAAGCCCAGGAGATGTTTGAGGTGCTTAATAATGCATTATGTTCATAAAAGAGCTGGGCCTCTCCAATGGATCCCCGTGGAGCAGGAGACCCAAGAGGGACCGGCAGAGTGTGTGCTCAGAACAGAGAGGAAGTGTGTGTGTGTGTGTGTGCGTGGGCATTTGAGTGTGTGTGTGGAGAGATACTGTGTGTGTGTGTATGTATATATATATGTGTGTATATATATATATATATAAAGGGTACGACTAAAACTCAAGCTCTGAAGTGTACAGGCGATGAATAGTTTCAGTTGTGTTTTTTCATATTTTTTGTGATTGTTCACTGAACAGTTATTTTGTTATTGTAACAAAAAAGGAAGAAGAAAACAAGGACGCCAACCCTATCAATTAGAGTTAAAGAGTGGCTGAATGGTACTGTACCCTGATATTCTTGTTTATGTATATATCTAAGAGGTTCTTTTGACATTGTTGTAGAGATGTCCTTCAGTCTGCCAGACAAAGGCATGTGTGGAACACCGACAAAAGACCAGGTTAAAGTGTGTCTTTCAGATTGTCTGTCAGCACACAGTGAAAGACACACTTCTTTCACCATTTATCTCTCTCTCTCTCTCTCTCTCTCTCTCTCTCTCTCTCTCTCTCTCTCTCTCTCTCTCTCTCTCTCTCTCTCTCTCTCTCTTCTCTCTCTCTCTCTCTGTTTCTTTATCTTTATCTCTTTCACTCTCTTCTCCAAGTCAAAGGGAGAGATTTTTATTCTGTGCTCTGAATATCGTATTAGTGAAAAGACGGCACAGAAATTGACTATTTTTACTGTAGTATTTTCATATTTTTTCATAGGTTTTCAAAGTTCATATTTTGTTGAAAATTATGTTCTTGTAGCCACAAAAATCTATATAATCTAGGTTAAAACAAGGATAGACATTAAATAATTGTACCTTGTGACTGTGTAGTTTTTAAAATAATAGATGACTTTGTTGAAAGTGTTCCTACACGGCTGCATTGGATGGAGACTCCCGTACTCTATAGGTAGAGTATTGGTTGTTTACTTTTGGTTGAATTAACTTTTTTCAAAGGTAGCCATTTTGATGGTGCACTTTGTCTTTGAAGGTTGAACTAAGGACTAACTGTTCAGTCACGGTCCATGACAATACACTACATTTGACATTTTAGCAGACGCTCTTATCCAGAGCGACTTACAGTTAGTGAGTGCATACATTTTCATACTGGCCCCCCGTGGGAAACGAACCCACAACCCTGGCGTTGCAAGCGCCATGCTCTACCAACTGAGCTACAGGGGACTCATGTACTCATGTACAGTGTTACTGTTTGTTGCAACAGCAGGAAATAGTGTTTTTGGAACTTGAAGACCACACAGAGAGAAAAACAAAACAAAAAACAAGACTGTTTTGAATTAAAATAAAAAAACCTTGAAGCACAGCCCTGTAAATGAATTTGTTCATGTTGTATGATGGGAACACAGCTGGCCTCATTAACATGCGCACAACAAATAATTATAGTGTTTTTTTCTTCTCTCCAGCCAGCCAGTGCTTGGCTAATGGGCTTGCTGGGTTAATTATGTCAGAGCGTAATTACACAGGGCCCAGGGAGACGTAATGGTGCACCCCGCTGAGCCCACACGCCTAATGACAGTGTATCGCTGACAGGGCAAAGACGGACCGCCCCAACACACCTGCTTGTGTTAGCTCACGCCACCCTTGTCCAACCCCACCCACCACTACTGCCCACCCAGACACACCCTGGACCTGTCTGTCTGTCCCACTGTCCCGGCCACAGTCCAGACAGTCCTTTATGTGGACAGTTCACACAGTGGGCCCTGGCCTAGCCTGGTCTATATCCAACTCCATAGGAACAACAATAGGAGCTGGCTATCAAGAATAAACATATCTGTTGTGACCATGCTAGCCATGGCCTGTTTACCCTGGGCTGTCAAGGAGCAGCACCCAGCACCTAGAGAGCCGCCCCCTGCTGTGGGATGAGCAATAGCAGAGTAATACCAGACCAGCGGCCGATAGGAACCAGCCATGGAAGCTCATTATCTCATCTGTAACACTGATGCAAACTCAGCTCACAGTGTAAACAATGTAGATGATGAGACCACACACACATAGATTCTATGATAGCCCTACCCTGGCTTACTGTTGTAGTGACTTTACCACACAATATCACCAAACCAGGTGGAACTGTGTTGAAGTACAAGTGATGCCAGGATCCTGAATGCCAGCTTATCTTTGCTGGTATACTGAGAGGACAGACTTGTGTGTCCGGAATGGCTTCTGAATCTCCTCCTCCTCATAACATTCTGTTCATCCCCACCTTTGCCCAGTCACTGTGATTCACTTGTGAACGGACCATATTTCACTGGAGAATATGATGTATTAATGTGCTGTGATTTATTACCCTCAATGATGTGCTGTTGTGCTATCTGTTATCATGACTTCAGGGCAGATGTCCAATCAGCCATAATTAAGATACGGGCTGAATTAAGAAATGTACTGTTTATTTGACCAACTCACAGTAGATAATGGTGGGTGATGCAGATGGTGGTGTGGGGGGGAATTCTAGGTATATTGGCAGTATAGTGTAAAATTTAATTCAAGTATTCAATATTCCTTTTATAGTAAGGATTTACTGTTAAAGAATTGCTCTTAAAGGAATATCCAGCACAGCTTATTAGCAACATCAATTAGTAGTCCTGTTCTCTTTCGTTACCAGCAGTCTTCTTTGACTCTCCCCCCAATTATAGCCCAACTTGCAGAGCTACACCCTGGCCCCTCTGAGAGTACCCCTGCTGCTCTCCTCTTTGACTGGGTTAATTTTGTATACAGAGCTACCATATATCCCTTCACTTTTTTTGCCTAGCCACTGATTGATAATCCCTGCTTGTCCAAGTGTGAGAGATCCCTTGCTGTAATCTCTGCACTTTGATCATGGAAAGTTTAAAGGATATATGGAAAAGAGGCTGATAAAGTGATTTCTGTGACAGTGGGTCGATGTGAACAGCAGTGTTTTAAGTTATCCTGTTTGTCTAAGAAGAGCTCTTCTCTTAAGTGTGATGTCCCATGTTACTGATGCAATATCTCCAGTGTTGGTGTAACAGTGAACACAGACACACAGGAGGCTCAGTTGATTGTAAACGGTCCTGGGGAAAAAATGGTTCAATCAATTATCTTTGTCTGAGTGTTTCTGATGAAACTTCAGATATGTCAAATGGCTATGGAAGTCTTTTAACAAATTGCAAATTTAGACTTGATGTGTTTGTTTTTGACTGCTGTGTTTCTGTAGCCTGTTTCGACCTGGCTGTCTAGTCTCAGTGGTGTCTGTTGAAGTGTAAACGTCTGTGGTTAGGCTCTCTGAAAAGTCAATTCAGTCTGTGCCCATGTTGAAGAAAGGATATGATCGCGATCCACACAGCAGCAGAAAGACGAGCGGATGAAAGCTGTGGGAGAAAAGTTTGTGCAGCAAAGCAGCGATTTTCCCTCCTTGGAGTTTTGAAAGGCTGGTGTGTGCGCAAGAGTGTGTGTGTGCCTCTACATCCTCCCTCCCTCCTTGTCAGGCGGCTCCCCTGAGCCCCTCTCTCTGTGCTTTGGCACTAGAAGTCACCTCCTTTGGTGTGCGGTAGGCAGGTACACAACAGGAGCAGCTCTCCCTCTCAGAGCTGTTGAACTTTTCGGGAGGGGAAGAAAGGGAAGGAGAAGATTTAAAAACAGCCCTGTGATGTGGAGTGCCGAGCCGCCTCCTGAGAATTCCTGGCATAATAATTTAAATGATCAAATGACACAGACGAGACTTGTTAGCAGAGAAACAGCCTCCTAGTTGGCCCCATGGGCCCAGTGCTGCCGTACATGCATTGCAAAACAGCTCCTCTGTTGTGCTAAAGAATCCAGCTTATTATCTCTTATTTTCAGGAGTAGACTTTTTCCACACTTTGTTGGATTTGTTTAGGTGTATATTTGGGACTGAGGTGCACGTCATATTCTACTGCAATCTATACGGCTTATTTTTTACATTCATTTATAGGTGATGAGTTCCATTGAATTTGATATCAGTAGTTATAGTATATTCATGTCATTAGGGCCAGCCTGTGAGATTTTCTAAGGCATCTCATTGGAGTGAATTCTAGAGTCCCTCTTTGGAACAATTTCTCAGTGCCATTCTCAGTTTCCTACTGTTGATACTGTTGTGCAGCAGGAGAGCATATGATAACTGTACTGTCCCATTCAGCATATAGTATAGTAGATTTTTCTTTTAATATGCTATTTACAAAGTTCCTTTTAAACATCCTGACATCAGTTGTATAACAGGAGACATATTTTGACAGCAGCAACAGGATAATTGTGATATCTCATTATATTTTATCAAATAGATAGGCAATGAAATTCACTTGACTGAAATGTTGAACTTTTGACTTTACTAATCCACTTCAGCATTTGAAGCCATTTTTACATAATGTTCAGACTGTACAAGCTCTTGAATTTCCACTCAATATTATGGCTATGTGGCTGTTTTTCATGGAGTGGTTAATAGAAAATGTGTACATTTCTCTCCATCTCGTTTGTTTTCTTGCTCTCAGACCCAGTTCCCGTGCTGGAGGCCACACACACCCTGGAGGAGAGGCTGCAGCAACTGCAGAGTTCTGCCCCAGACAGCGAGGCCCTGGTCAGGGAGATCAGCGGGCACTGGAGGAGACACCTGGAGTGCCTTGACAAGCCAGGTCAGAGCAGAGCCACAGCCACCAGCCTGGTCTCATAGACTAAACGTAACATCGTAAATGTCAATCCGGGACCCTCAAATTAGGATGATATGTTATGTTTGGTATGGTTACATAAGACAGATGGTTACTTAAGGCAAAAACTAAAGTAGGGTGGTTAGTTGGGGGTGGGTGGGCGTATAACATGAACGTCTACCAACCCAATGGTTGCGAGTTCAAATCTCCTCATGGACAACTTTAGCATTTGAGCTAATTAGCAACTTTTCAACTATACTGAACAAAAATATAAACGCAACGATTTGACTGAGTAACAGTTCATATAATAAAATCAGTCAATTTAAATCAATTCATTAGGTCCTAATCAATGGACAGGGGCACAGCCATGGGTGGGCCTGGGAGGGCATAGGCCCACCCACTTGGGAGCCAGGCCCACCCACTGGGGAGCCAGGCCCAGCCAATCAGAATGTGTTTTTCCCCACTAAAGGGCATTATTACAGACAGAAATGCTCCTCAGTTTCATCAGCTGTCTGGGTGGCTGGTGTCAGATGATCCCGCAGGTGAAGAAGCCGGATGTGGAAGTCCTGGGCTGGCGTGGTTGTGAGGCCGATTGGACGTACTGCCAAATTCTCTAAAACAACGTTGGAGGCAGCTTATGGTAGAGAAATTAACATTAAATTCTCTGGCAACAGTTCTGGTGGACATTCTTACAGTCAGCATGTCAATTGCATGGTCCATTAAAACTTGAGACATCTGTGGCATTGTGTTGTGTGACAAAACTACACATTTTAAAGTGGCCTTTTATTGTCCCCAGCACAAGGTGCACCTGTGTAATGATCATGCTGTTTAATCAGCTTCTTGATACGCCACACCTGTCAGGTGCAGAAATGCTCGCTAACAGGGATGTGAACAAAGTTGTGTACAACATTTGAGAGAAATAAGCTTTTTGTGCGTTTGGAAAATGTCTGGGATCTTTTATTTCAGCTCATGAAACATGGGACCAACACTTTACGTTTATATTTTTGTTCAGTATACTTACTACTTTTTAGCTACTTTGCAACTATTTAGCATGTTAGCTAACCCTTCCCTTAACCCTAACCTTAACACTTTTAGCTAACCCTTCCTCTAACCCTAACCTTAACCCTTTTAGCTAACACTTCCACTAACCCTTTAACCTAACTTCTAAACGTAACCCTAACCTTAACCCTAACCCCTAACCCCTAGCCTAGCTAACGTTAGCCAGCTAGCTAGAATTCTTAACATATTGTACGTTTTGCAAATTCGTAACGTATAATACAAATTGTAATTCATAACATATCATATGTAATGGGTGATGGATATCCACAAATTAATTCATACCATATGAAATGTAACATATCATACTAAATGGAGTGTCTCAGATTTAGGTACAAAATAATAAGAAATGCTCTGAGACCAGGTTGCAGCCACAGCCCTGGCCACAGAATGGGCCCAGGCCTTGCTCACTGCTGCTTGATTGTTCAAAGTTGTTCGAAATGTCAATTTCAGAGAAAGTAATTGAAGAAAGTCTCTTTGTTCTACAAACAATCCACTTTTAGCCACACACGGATGTCTCTGTTCCATGCACTCTCTGTGGCATCTCACCTCAGATGATCACAGCACTCATCTGTACTCCTCTCCGCTCCCTATCCACAGGTGACACAGAGGAGGACCCATCAGCAGCAGAGTCAAGAGCTGGGGAGGCATCGAGCTGGACAGCCTGTGTGATGACTCCAAACAGCAAACAGGCCCTCAGAGCCACAGGCTCACCTCAGCAGAACCACCAGGGCCAGAACCAGATAGGAAGGTTAGAAACACAGGCCTGGTCCTTGCCTCCCTCACAGCCCTGTGAACATGATATGATGTGTACATGATAACAAAAAAGAGAACAGCCCTCAGCCCGTCAGTCACACTGCACAATGACAATAGACCTGGATGTAATAACATTTAAACCTTCAACTAATACGTGGAAACAGAATGTAATACAGTATGTGTGCTGTATTCCTGAGAGTATGTAAGTATGGTCATCTTTGACATTGCGTCTCTCTTCTCATAGGGAAGCTGAAGACACAGATGCCACTCTGGCCGACAGACTGGGTGAGGCCGAGGAGAGGATCAAAGTGCTTCATTCATGTGAGTGTTTTGTCCGATGGTCCTTTCTGGACACAGTAAGGTGAAAGGTCATCATGACTAATGCTGTTCCTTTATCTCTCTAGCTCTGAGCACAGCCCAGACAGATCTGCTGGACCTGCGGTGTAAATACGACCAGGAGAAGGCCAACAAGTAAGAGCCTGCTTGTATCTCCACTGTCTCTCAACTTCTCAGTTCACGTAACCCACTCAGCCTATGTCCATACTGTCCTTTCTGCTTGTCCTCTAACATGTTCCCTAACCCTCATTCACTCTACTCATGGTCTCTCCATCTATACAACTGCGGGTCCCTACTCAGCCCACCTATGCATACACCACTATGCTCACCCTTCTCTCTTTAGCCATGCTTGCTCTACCCTACTCCACACATGGTCACCTCCCACTGTAGTATACCCAAGTCCAGTCTGAACCCTCAGAATGCCATTGTAAAAACAGACCTGGGCTGCAACTGAAATGGCACCCTATTCCCTATATAGTTCACTACTTTTGACCAGAGCCCTATGCACGTAGTGCACTATATAGGGAATAAGGTGCCATTTCGGACATTACAGTGGTGTGACTCACCGACTAATGCAGGTGGATGGATGGGAGAGCTCTGTGTTGGCCTCCTCTGTCTGATAGCTAGAGCCCTGCCTTGCCAGGCCTCAAGAAGAATGACTCCATTTAAAGATTGCTTCAGAAAACACTCTACCTTGTCCTGGATCTGCGAGCGAAATATATTCAGCTCAATGGTTGAAATGAATGTGAAGTTGTATGAAGGATGTCGATATACATTCAAAGTAAACACTCCTTTGTTTGGGTTGTGCTGCAGACGGAGCACAGTGAGACAGCGCTAATGGATTTTCTCCCAGGCTTAATCCATGGTGCAATTGAACTGGAGTTTACAGACCCACCGCCATCCATTCTGCTGGATTTGAAGCATTTTCCATTCGACTCCCCTTTCATGTTCAGCAGCTGTTCACAGTGACGGCTCTTTAGCTCCCTGTGAGGGGAGAGAGGAAGAATGGTTGTGTGTTGGTGTTCGGGCCACAGGGCCAGTGCTTTGTTTGTGAATGGCTTGTAGTTAGTGAATAGGTGATGAGGAATACATCCTATAGGGGTTGTCTTATGAATGGGTGTTGTCCTCAGCTGGCTGTAATAGGCTTATAGAAACACTAAACACACAACCCCCTGGCCCATAATCACAACTACCTCTCTCAGGACTCATCCCCATGGCTCTGTGACGCCAACTTTACCTCCTATTACTCTGACTGACTTTTTCCTTGATGTTAATAATAAAGGTGATTTGGCTGCTTTGAGTATCTGAACAGGTAATCAATACAAAGCATTTTTCCATATTGCTCAAGTTAATTACATCTGGATATGACACCTGTTACCTTTTTCTGTCAGTGTGGTTCCATCCATCCTGGGCTTATTGATGTGGCCTGAACTCTGCCCAGAGCCCTGCTGGACTGTCCTGTACTGCACACCACACCAATACTAATTAATATAGAGAACTATTGATTGATTTGAACTTTAAATGGGTCTGGTTTTACTGTTGTTTCACCCCCCAAAACGTTAGGAAGCAATGCTCTGTGACTATTCAGAATGGCTTATGAGTCATGCAGTTAAGTTGTTTGTGTCATTAATCTTCCTAAAACAAGCCCATAATAACCAGCAGTAAGATGAAGGGGCTGTGGGGGCAGACGGAGATGACGAAGAACATGGTTTGTTTGATTGAACAATATCGCTGATTTGCTCTCAAAACACATTTAGTGAAACGGAAAGGAGTTTCTTTGTCCTGAAAACTTCAGAAATCTTTGTGCATATTTTAATCAATCTCACAGTCCTCGTTAATTGATCTTTCTCCACATTTTGAAAATCAACTCCCATGTGTCTAAAAAGGATCTGTTGAACTTCAAACAAACCTCATGTATAATCGGTCTATTTATATTGGACTTCTCTTATTGTTAGATGTATGGAGGCATGAAGGAATGCAAGTATTGTATTGATCAGACAGGCAGTCCGTTTCTGTCTGGTTTTGGTTGTACTGTAGGGAGCTATGTGAGGACTGATGCTTTGTTTATGTTGTGTGTGATTTAGTGTGAATCATTTAAGAAAAGTGTGTAAGGGGTTTGATAACGAGTTGATGATTAAGTGATTATGCCTGAGAAGCCGGTGTTTGGAGGATATATTGACACGGGTGTTGTTAGGCCCTAGACAGTGGATTGCGCAGTGAGATGGAACAGTAAATAGGCATTTCAACGTCATAGGCTTAGCCAGTGGTAATTTGTGGACTAGAATGCAGTTTTAACCAATCAGCATCCAGGATTAGACCAACCCGTTGTATAATGTGTTATAGACTCATGTTATATGTAGGTGTGAGTATTGTTCTGTATGGTGTTGCTCTACATTAAGGTCAGAGGTCAAGGAGGGTGTATAAATCATGCTAGACTATTCGATTGCCCCCTCAGTAACCCACAGGCTGGTTCTGTGTATGTTCCAGGGCGGAGGAGGTCGGCGTGATCATGATGAACCTTGAGAAGGCAAACCAGGTGAGTGAGAAATGCCGTGCTGTAGGCAGCCCTCTGAATAAGATGCATCTTCGTTAAGATAATCACTCATGTAATCAAGCCTCCTGTTTAATTAGACACCCTGCGTCCTGCAGCCCCAGACCCCCTGCCTCCCCCTACCCTGCCTCCCCCTCCCTGAGCCCCTGTGATTAGAGTCGGTAAACCCTGGCCCCCGTCTGTGGGTGCTCTACGGTAACACTCAGTAGAGGACAGGAGAGACTGCCAAGCGCGATTGATACCGGAGTGCCGTGCGCTGGGGCTCGTACCTACCTCATTGCCTTGATTGCTTCCTTTCCTTCCTAGTGATTTCTCTTCTCTCTCTCTTTCCTCTTTCCTTCTCTCTCTCTGTCAGTCTCTCTCATACCTTCTCACTCTCCTTTTCTCTATCGTTCTCTCCTATCTCTCCACCAGCAGCTCTTAGTTAAATGTTCTCAAAATGAATAATTAATTAGGAGCCCGAGTGTGACGGTGCAGGTAAACAGTTTGGGAAGAAAGTACTCTGACTTAACAGTCCTCTCAGGAAAATCGAGTGGCAGTTGCACTCTTCTGCTGGTCGAACTCCTCTATTTCTCTTTTTCTGAGGGTCTGTCCTCAGATGTATCTGTCTGTTCTCTTCAAGACTAGTTAATTTGTATATCTGCTGAGTGACTGACAGGTTGGTTGTGTCAGTGTTCTGTTGTGTGAGTTGTAATGCTGTCATGTTTGGTTGTAGAAAGCAGAGATGGCCCAGAGGGAGGTGGAGAGGCTAAAGGAACAGCTGGCCAGTGCCCGGAGCGCCACCCCAGGGAGCTGCTATCCACCAGAGGGCACTAGTGGGGTGAGACTAGACCACATCCTCTTCTGTTCAGATCAATGTGTTCCTCGATTTTTTCCCCCCTTCAAATTCATTGAAGCTTCACATCATGGATCTTTTAAGTGTGAGAATTCTGGACGGTAGAATTTTTGCCTTTTTGAAAAGGAATTCTCACCTTCCAATGATTTACCCTTCAGAGTCTTTGACTCTTTTTGACTCTGTTTCCTCTTTCTTTCTTCCACTTAGGAAAGGGATGAGAATGGTGATGTGTTGCCATCCAAGCTGGAGCCTAAGCTGATGGCTAAAGACCGAGAGATCCTCAGGCTACTGGAGAACGTACAGAGACTGCAGTTCGCACTACAGGAAGTCCAAAACATCTCAGCCAATCAGATCATAGAGCTGGAACGCCAGCTGGCCTATAAGACAGAAGCTATTGAGGTAAGTCCTACTGCATACACTCAACTGGCAAGAGGTATGGACCCACCTTCTTGTCGGTGGAGTTTGCTGATATATGCTTCCTCTCTTTGACTGTTTCAGAGATTAGAAGCTAAACTGCAATCCCAGTTGGACTATGAAGAGATTAAAACAGAACTCCGGTGAGACAAACACTCACAGTGCTTGAGAAGAGACTACTAATCGTATTACAATATCTTATATTCAGGAACACAATATAACATTCTTACTGTTGTTTTTTCCTAATGTAGTATCCTGAAGGTAATGAAGCTGGCCTCAACGAATGGTAGCTCGTCCGAGGTGAGATATATATTGAAGGTCGACTTTGTATTGCGTTGTTGTTCATAGCCCAGCATTAAACAAAGTAGTTTGCGTCTTAACAAAACAGACCTTTGTTTTCCTCCTAATGTTCCACTGCTGTCAGGGAAGAAAAAGTACAGCAGTGCCATTGAATGCCTAAGTGAGCGTCATCCATTGTAAGGATATCTACAGCCACTATAATTGATTAATCGGAATTTAACAGCCTGTGTGTGTGTGTGTGTGTGTGTGTGTGTTTGTGTGTTTGTGTGTGTGTGTGTCACCAGGACTCTGCCAAGGCTGCAGAGGCTTTTTTGCGGGACAAAGAGGCCTTTCTTCCCTCTCACAAGTACCTGATGGATAAGGCCAGAATCTTACGCAACAATGGTGAGGCAACAGTATCTACAGTGCCTTGCAAAAGTATTTATCCCCATTGCCGTTTTTCCTATTTTGTTGCATTATTCCTATTTTGTTGCATTACAACCTGTAATTTAAATGGATTTTTCTTTGGATTTCATGTAATGGACATAGTCCAAATTGGTGAAGTGAAATGAAAAAAATTACTTCTTTCAACAAATTCTAAAAGATAAATAACAGAAAAGTGGTGCGTGCATATGTATTCACCCCCTTTGCTATGAAGCCCCTAAATAAGATCTGGTGCAACCAATTACCTTCAGAAGTCACATAATTAGTTAAATAAAGTCCACCTGTGTGCAATCTAAGTGTCACATGATCTGTGACGATCTCAGTATATATACACCTGTTCTGAAAGGCCCCAGAGTCTGCAACACCACCAAGCAAGCGGCACCATGAAGACCAAGGAGCTCTCCAAACAGGTCAGGGACAAAGTTGTGGGGAAGTACAGATCAGGGTTGGGTTATAAAAAAGAATCGGAAACTTTGAACATCCCACGGAGCACCATTAAATCCATTATTAAAAAATGGAAAGAATATGGCACCACAACAAACCTGCCAAGAGAGGGCCGCCCACCAAAACTCACGGATCAGGCAAGGAGGGCATTAATCAGAGAGGCAACAAAGAGACCAAAGATAACCCTGAAAGAGCTGCAAAGCTCCACAGCGGAGATTGGAGTATCTGTCCATAGGACCACTTTAAGCCATACACTCCACAGAGCTGGGCTTTACGGAAGAGTGGCCAGAAAAAAGCCATTGCTTAAAGAAAAAAATAAGCAAACACGTTTGGTGTTCGCCAAAAGGCATGTGGGAGACTCCCCAAACATATGGAAGAAGGTACTCTGGTCAGATGAGACTAAAATTGAGCTTTTTGGCCATCAAGGAAAACGCTATGTCTAACGCAAACCCAACACCTCTCATCACCCCGAGAACACCATCCCCACAGTGAAGCATGGTGGTGGCAGCATCATGCTGTGGGGATGTTTTTCATCGGCAGGAACTGGGAAACTGGTCAGAATTGAAGGAATGATGGATGGCGCTAAATACAGGGAAATTCTTGAGGGAAACCTGTTTCAGTCTTCCAGAGATTTCAGACTGGGACGGAGGTTCACCTTCCAGCAGGACAATGACCCTAAGCATACTGCTAAAGCAACACTTGAGTGGTTTAAGGGGAAACATTTAAATGTCTTGGAATGGCCTAGTCAAAGCCCAGACCTCAATTCAATTGAGAATCTGTGGTATGACTTAAAGATTGCTGTACACCAGCGGAACCCATCCAACTTGAAGGAGCTGGAGCAGTTTTGCCTTGTAGAATGGGCAAAGGGCGGGGTGAATAGTTATGCACGCTCAAGTTTTTTTTTTTTTGTTGTCTTATTTCTTGTTTGTTTCACAAGAAAAAATATTTAGCATCTTCAAAGTGGTAGGCATGTTGTGTAAATCAAATGATACAAACCCCCCAAAAATAAATTGTAATTCCAGGTTGTAAGGCAACAAAATAGGAAACATGTAGCAAGCCACTGTATGCCTATGACATCTAGTTGTAGTTCTTGAAAGCTGTTTGTAGTTTATAGTCCCGAGTCTGCACGGTCTACATAAGCTTAATGTAGTGTGTTGGCTCTATGCAGCTGTAAACCCCAGGGGCTGTGAAAGTGCTGCTAAACTGAGTGTGACTCTGTGTCTGCAGATGAGGACCAATCGGAGGAGTCAGGCAGGGAGTCAGGCAGGGAGTGGGGCAGGCCCTCAGGGTCCTTCTCCTCAGTCTCCCAGGTGGATGGACGTACCTCTGCCAGCCCTGGTCCCCCCACCATGGACGTCTCCTCCTCTAGCCACGACCTCCCCCTCCCCCGCCCCTTCTCTGTGTCCCCCTGCTCAAGGGACAGGCTGTCTGCGGACCACGTCCTCCACAAGCAGGTCCTCTCCTCCCCACTCTTCAAGAAGGAATCCGGCAGCCCCCTCATGGCCTTCCCCACCGCCCTGTATGCAGCCAAAGCCACCCTAATGTCAGCCAATCAGGGACCTGCAGGGGCTGGCGGCATTGAGGCCGGCCTGCCCAGTGACCAATCGGAGAGCGGGAGCTCCACTGCGGGTGATGACGACCAGTTGGAGACAGCAGAGATTGCCTTCCAGGTCAAAGAACAGCTGTTGAAGCACAACATTGGCCAGCGTGTGTTTGGTCACTACGTGCTGGGCCTATCACAGGGCTCAGTCAGTGAGATCCTGGCCCGACCCAAGCCCTGGAGGAAGCTGACAGTGAAAGGCAAGGAGCCCTTCATCAAGATGAAACAGTTCCTGTCTGACGATCAGAACATCCTGGCCCTCAGGACCATCCAGGTCCGACAGAGAGGTAAGTGGACCGGACAGTGGTTACTCTAGCAGCATACCACCCTGCATCCCACTGCTGGCATGCCTCTGAAGCTAAGCAGGGTCGGTCCTGGTCGGTCTCTGGATGGGAGACCAGATGCTGCTGGAAGTGGTGTTGGAGGACCAGTAGGCGGCACTCTTTCCTCTGGTCTAAGGAGATCCCAGGGCAGTGAAGGGGATATTGCCCTGCGTAGGTTGCTGTCTTTTGGATGGGACGTTAAACGAGTGTCCTGACTCTCTGTGGTCATAAAAAATCCCATGCCACTCATCTTAAGATTAGGGGTGTTAACCCCGGTGTCATGGCTAAATTCCCAACATGGCCACCTAATCATCCCCCTTATTACTAATTGGCATATATCACCTCCCTACCTGATAGCATTATGGCACAAAAATGGTCGCCATGCATCACCCAAGTGGATGCTACACATTGGTGGTGGATGAGGTGAGTTTCCCCCTACTATGTAAAGTGCTTTGAGTACCTCAGTTGGTATAAAAACGGTATATAAATCCAGTTAATTATTATTACTCTAAACCACAGATATGACAGCAGATATCGAAGTGTCAGGAAATACCAGCCATGAAAACTAACCTTTTAAAATGAAATAATATCAGGCATTAATTTACTGTACATGCATTTAATATGCTAAAGCAGAAGGTTGTGTATTGCGGTAGCAATATTTTTATTTGAGGATTTTATTAGTGCTGTGGGATAGAGCAGAGTTGGCCACTGTGTCTTTCTGATGAGTTTTGAAAGGCTGGTGGTTTAGTTTCTGGACCTCTCTGCATTTAAACCTTTTCATCTCCTTGGCCTGCACTTTTAACTTCTTCATTTATATTTGACATTTTAGTCATTTAGCAGAGACCCTTATCCAGAGCGACTTTAGTGCATTCATCTTAAGGTAGCTAGGTGGGACAACCACATGTCATAGTAAATACATTTTTCCACTAAAGTAGCTATCACCAAAGTCCGAGCTAGTAGGGCGGAAAAAAAGTAAAGTGTGAGTGTTAGTTAGGGGGGGGGGGGGGTAGGGTTTCAGATGTTTTCGGAAGATGGGCAGGGACTCTGCTGTCCTAGCTTCAGGGGGATACTGGTTCCACCATTGGGGTACCAAGACAGAGAAGAGCTTGGACTGGGCTAAGCGGGAGCTTCCCTCCCGTAGGGGTGGGAGGGCCAAGAGAACAGAGGTGGCTTCCTCTCCCATGTTTCAGAGCTTTTGAAAGTTGAGCTTACCGTATACCGCAACCTCAGACGCCAACATCTCAAAGGCAGCCGTTGATCTTCCAGTCAAAAGCAAAGCCTTGGAACTGCTCTCTGATCAGCCATCCCACTCACTCTCCCCCCCCCCCCCCCCCCCCCCCTCCCCTTCTCTCACTCTCTGTTACCCTCTCTGTGGCAGGGAGCATCACTCCTCGCATCCGAACTCCTGAAACTGGGTCAGACGACGCCATCAAGAATATCTTGGAGCAGGCCAAGAAGGAGATCCAGTCCCAGAGAGGTGGGTCTGGAACAGGTTATGCCTCTACTCTTTATTCATCTGTGCTAGGTCAGGTGACATTTAGATTATAATTATTTTGGTGTGTACATTTTGAGAGCAATTTTCATTGATGGCAGTTGACGTTTTTGAAGTTGGTGTGGAGTGTGTATTCGTAGAGTTCTGTGTAACGGTGTGTGTGCGTTTGTGTGTATGTCTGTGTGTGCACGATCTGCAGGTGACATTAAATCGTCCCTGGGCAGCCCCTCCGGCTTGAGCAGTAACGGGGCGGGCGGCAGCTCAGACGACACCATCAAGAACATCCTGGAGCAGGCCAGGAGGGAGATGCAGGCGCAGCAGCAGGCCCTGATGGAGATGGATGTCTGTGGCAGGGCCTCGGCCACCAGCGCTGGGTCCCAGGTGGAGCGCCTGGGGCTCCCTGAGTCTTCCAAGGTCATGCCCTTACCCACCTTAATCAAACAGGAGGAGGGGGGCACGGTGACCGTGTGCATGGCCAACCCCGTCAGCAGCCCCCAGACCCCCCTCAGTGTCCTCTCCCCCGCCGCCTTCGTCCAGAACATCATCCGTAAAGTCAAGTCAGAGATTGGTGAGGCGGGGACTTACTTCGACCAGCACTGGTCCGTGGAGCGGGGGCCCATAGGCATGGTGGGCGGCGTAGGGGGCGGCAGCTCTCGGCCCTTCACCTCAGTGTCTCCCTCCCTGTCCTCCTCCTCGTCCTCGGGCCCATCGGCCCTGCCCCGGCCCTGGCCCCGGCTGGAGAACGGAGAGTGTCTGCCCAACAGTGAGGAGGCGTCTGCAGCCGAGGAGGACACTGGCTCGGGGATGGTGCGGTCTGTGGAGGTAAAAGTGGAGTCAGACGTGTCAGTGAGTGGGGAGTCACCCGGCCCTGGCCGTGGCCTGTCCTATTACCCATCATACCTCCCCCGCACCCTGAAGCCCACCGTGCCGCCGCTGACGCCGGAGCAGTATGAGATGTACATGTACCGTGAGGTGGACACCATCGAACTCACCCGGCAGGTCAAAGAGAAGCTGGCCAAGAACGGCATCTGTCAGAGGATCTTTGGTGAAAAGGTGTGTGTTCACTTACATTTACGTCATTTAGCAGACGCTCTTATCCAGAGCGACTTACAGTTAGTAAGTGCATACATTTTCATACTGGCCCCCCGTTGCAAGCGCCATGCTCTACCAACTGAGCTACACGGGCCTATCTTCACTCCATGCTTCCTCTAAAAAGGTTTACACATTTTTAATAACTTAATGTGTCTCAATAAGTAATTTGTGAGGCCTCTTTTTAAGCCAAAGATTATTAAATATGTATCATGTGAATATCAAACAGATTTTGATCATGTGGAAGCAAAGCTTGTTCTTCAATTCTTATAGATTGTGTGCTTCTGCCCTCTAGTGGTTGTAGATATGCACTTAAAATGGGCCCTTAGTGAAGCTGATGTACCAGTCAGCATTTTGTCATATCTCGAACAGATACCAAAGAGGTACTAAAATTGTTCATTCCTAAATTGTTGCAGTTGCTCAGTAGGAATAACTAGATGTTTATCCTGTGTATCCTCTCCCCAGGTGCTGGGTCTATCTCAGGGCAGTGTGAGTGACATGCTGTCTCGGCCCAAACCCTGGAGCAAGCTGACTCAGAAAGGCAGGGAGCCCTTCATCCGCATGCAGCTGTGGCTGCTGGACCAGCTGGGCCAAGCACTCACCCAGCTTCCCAGCCAAAGCCTCTCTCAAGGTGCGCCACTACACATTACACACTGCAACTTGGGCCTATTTATTTTATAGAAGTAATACTTTGTAAGTTATGGTCAATAAGAATACTAGTGTCTTTCCGAGCTAATCAGCTGAATAGAGAAGGTCTCTTTGCTTCTTTATCTGTTGCTCTGACTGATGATTTCACCCTCTGATGTTTTGTGACTACCGCCCATAGATAAAAGCCCAGTGACGGCCCAGTCGTCGCCCTCCCCGCCCCCCAGCCCAGAGGAGAGCCACCCCAGCCCATTGGTGGAGCCCGTCAGCCTGACCCTGGAGAGCAGCAAGGAGAACCAGCAGCCTGAGGGCCTGGGCCTGATGCCCCCCCACCCAGAGGGAGGGAAGTCCACCCCCAGCCTGCTGTCCCTCCACCAGCCCCACACCCCGCTTGGCATCCAGGAGCTGGTGTCAATGTCCCCAGAGCTGGACACATACGCAATCACCAAGAAGGTCAAGGAGGTGCTAACAGACAACAACCTAGGTGAGTTTAAGTTGTTGTCTCTGGATATGGGTTTTAGGAATGAGTGTGGGATCTATGTTGTGGTGAGTTAATGTTATGTGTTGTGGTTTTCTCTGACCATCTGATTAGGAAAAACCCTGTGTCCTAGTTATGTCATGTGTCCACTAGGTCAGCGGACCTACTTTATTTGTGCTCTGTTTGGAATACAGTATGTCTGTCAATGTGTGTGTTGTTTAAACCTTTGTTTGTGTGCTCTAGGCCAGCGGCTGTTTGGGGAGAGTATACTGGGCCTCACCCAGGGCTCAGTGTCAGACCTGCTCTCCAGGCCCAAGCCCTGGCACAAACTCAGCCTCAAAGGCAGGGAGCCGTTTGTCCGCATGCAGCTGTGGCTCAACGACCCGCACAATGTGGACAAGCTGAGGGACATGAAGAAGATGGAGAAGAAAGGTTGGTGTATTTACAGCATGTTATCTGCAAATTATGTTCTGTTATCAGGGTTTGCATGTTAGCAGTATGTGTATTTGCATTTACCTACTCATACAGTAGAGCACTGTGTGGATGTACTAATGGATATACAGTGCTGCTTGAAAGTATGTGAACCCATTGTGCAATTACAGATTATTTCAGTTTTTACCATGAAATCTTCATTTAATCAGAACTAGTCTTTTTGATCTGACATAACAGGTTTATATTTACTAATACCATATGTTGGTGAAGAGGAAATCATGCATGTAGTAGAAAAACAAAATTAAAAAGGAATTAGTGCAGGTGCAAGAATAAGTGAACCCCAAGTTGCATTGGTTAAATCAAGTAGGTAAGTAGAATCAGGTGGGTAATTAATCAGCTACCAAATTAACCAATCAAAGGAGAGATCGTTAGGAAAGAGATTGGGCGGGACTCTGATAAATAGAGATAAGAAACCTGGTCAGTTTGGTGTTACCCATCCATGTGAATGCAAAGCACACCATGCCAAGAGGAAATGAGATCTCAAAGGACATCAGGACGAGGGTAGTGAGAGCACATCAGTCTGGGGAAAGCTATAAAATCATCTCAAAAAGATTTGCGCTCCATCAGTCCACTGTGAGGCAAATCGTTTACAAATGGAGAGCATTTAACATGACAGCAACTCGGCCTAGAAGTGGACGCACTTCCAAAATATCCCCAAGAGCCACGAGAACAATAATAAATCAGGTAAAAGCCAACCCAAACATAACATATAGAGATTTGCAGACCTCCCTTGCTGCATCTCAGGTAACTGTGCATGCTTCAACAATAAGAAGAACACTGAATCGAAATGCCATTCATGGGAAGGTTGCAAGGAAGAAGCCTCTGCTGTCAAAAAAGAACCAAACTGCCTATCTTAACTATGCCAGAGACCACCTGGACAAACCTGAAGGTTTCTGGAAGTCCATTCTCTGGACCGATGAGTCCAAAATTGACCTTTTTGGTCACAATCAACATGCTATGTTTGGCGAAAACCCAACACTGCCTACCACCAAAATAACCTTATCCCAACAGTCAAGCATGGTGGTGGGAATGTCAAGATCTGGGGCTGCTTTTCCTACTCTGGACCTGGATGACTCCACATCATTAAGGGAACCATGAATTCTGAGGTATACCAGGAGATTCTTGAACAGAACGTCAGGCCATCAGTCAAGGAGCTAAAGCTGGGCCGAAAATGGGTCTTCCAACAAGACAACGACCCAAAGCATTCAAGCAAATCTACCAAAGAATTGCTCAGGAGAAAGAAGATTTGTGTTTTGGATTGGCCAAGTCAAAGTCCTGACCTAAAACCAATCGAGATGCTGTGGCAGGACCTAAAGTGGGCAGTTCATGCCAGACACCCCTCAAACCTCACTCAATTGGCTAAATTCTGTAAGGAGGAGTGGGCAAAAATCCCTCAAAACAGATGTCAGAGACTGATTACTGGCTATAGGAGATGTTAAGTCCAAGTGGAGGTGCCACAAGCTATTGACTGATGGGGTTCACATCTTTTTCCACACATAAAATCTGAGTTTCTGTTAAATAAACCACTTTTGTTAAATAAACAATGAAAATATATATTTTTTTGTTTCTGTCATTTACTTGGAATGTCTATTACTAATTGGGGTTGAGATAAGGATTTTATGTTTATTTTAAAATGTTATAGCAAAATAATGACCAGCCCTGTAGGGTTCACATACTGTCAAGCTGCACTGTATGCACAGCAGCTATACTGTGTGATGGATTGATTAGTGTTATTCCATGTTTTTACATTGATTTCTATATATCTCTCTCGCTCTTTCTCTCTGTGTTGTCCTCTCAGCCTACCTGAAGCGGCGGTATGGGCTGCTGAGTACCGGCTCAGACAGTGACTCTCCCAGTGCCCGCTCTGAGTGTGTGAGCCCAGCTCTGGCCTCAATAGACCTGTGTCCCTACAGTCAGGTGAAGAAGCCCAGGGTGGTGCTGGGGGCTGAGGAGAAGGAGGCTCTGAGGAAGGCCTACCTCCTGGAGCCATACCCCTCCCAGCACACCATTGAGATGCTGGCTTCCCAGCTCAACCTGAAAACCAATACAGTCATTAACTGGTTCCACAACTACAGGTCAGACATGGCATCAGATCCCCACCCCCAGAGGGACTAGAATAATTACATTGAATAAATACAGTACATGGAATTACTAACAGAATACTTGGATGCTTGTTTTGAATTAATGAAGTACACGACTCCTTCAAACTGTTAGTTTGTTGTGTTTTTCTAAGCAGGTCCAGGATGCGACGGGAGGTCCACATGGAGGGTCTCCAGGACAACGACACAGACACAGAACACCACAGCTACTCTCTCTCGGCCACACAGAGCCCCATCTCAGACGGGGATGAGAAGAGGCTGCTGCACCCCGCTGGACACCCCCCCCACCCCATCCGCACCCTCAGCGCCAACACACCACTGCCTCATGTCAAACAGGAGGCCGGTGAGCGGGAGGACGAGGGAGAGGAGGAGAGGGACGGCTACATCAGACAGTCTAAGGTCCAGTGTTTCTCTATGGGCGTCCAGTTCCCTCAGTTGAAAACGGAGCATGAGGACCTGATAGGTGGCTGCCGAGAGCTCCACCTGGCTCCACACTATCCTCAGAGCCTGAGGCAGGAAGAGGGGATGAGTAGCCAGGCTCAGGGGCTCTTCCAGGGGGCGCTCTCCCTAGATGGCCCCCAGAGAGCCAGCCAGTCCTGGAACGAGGGTGACGACTCCAGCAAGTCTCCCGTGGACCCGGTCAGCTTCAAGGCCTCGTCTGAGCCCTGCCGCAGCAGCCTGGAGGTCTCCCTCAACTCCCCCTCCGCTGCCTCCTCACCTGGCCTCATGATGTCCGTCTCCCCTGTCTCATCATCCTCTGCACCCATCTCCCCATCCCTGCCCAACCCACCAACCACAAGCACCAACCACAGCCTGGACCCTAACGCCCTGCCTCCCATCCAGAGCCCCAAGCCCAACAGGAGCGTTCAGAGACGCACCGAGAAAATGGCCAACCTCAACAACATCATCCACAGGCTGGAGAGAGCGGCTAACCGGGAGGAGACCCTGGAGTGGGAGTTTTAGGCCCCTCCCTCCCTCCATATTTCCTCAGTCCTGCTGACTCACACAGCACATGGGAGACTCTCAAAGATAAGCTTCAGGAACACATGGAGTTGAGCCTGGCTCCTGAAGTCCTCCCTGTCTGATCATACTGAATAAATACCCTGTAGGATACCAGGGGAAACCAGAGCTAAACTCTTACAGACAAATTCCCTTAGAGGACTTTTAGAAAATAAAATAATATTTATAAATGTGTTTTAGTTTTTTTGATAATGGATACTACTTTGAAATATATGTAACAGCACTAGCTGTTGTTTTACTTAATGGACTCTGACGTGAAGACTTTTGCAGCTATGGTGTCATGAAATGTACACTGAAGTTCTGTAGATTGCCACTGGGTGAGATTAAAAAAGACCCCTGTCTTAAGCCATCAAAAGCACTATAATTATATAAAAAGAGACACTGACCAAATTTGCTAATTTTTGAATAGCAATTTTTCCAATTTTGTCTGTAAAACGGGACAGTTTAAGTCAAGTAACATGTGAAATTGTACTACTGACTAAGGGATAGTCCTTTAAGACTCTAAATATTCAACATCTCCTATGTACTTAGTTTCTTGGTGATATGTTTTGAAACATTTGTAACACAAACGTATAAAGTGTGGTTGTACATGTTGTAGAATTGTCTGCAATAGCCTTCTCTGAACCAGATGTAGCATGGTATTCAACTGACCCTGTTATCCTCTATAGTTAGTCACCTGTGATATACTTGAGCAAAAATTTGTGAAACAAAATCAGCAAAAAAATAAGAAAAAAAGGAAATGTAAAATCTAATGAGTAGAATCTTATTTTTATTTTATTTATTTATTATATAGTCCTGGAGGTTTACAGTTTTTGACCCTTGTGCACTTGTCAGTAAGTGAAACTTAGTACACATGAGCACAGTTTACATGATTTATTTCAGACTTACACTACCAGACAAAAGTTTTAGAACACCTACTCATTCAAGGGTTTTTCTTTATTTTTACTATTTTCTACATTGTAGAATAATAGTGAAGACATCAAAGCTATGAAATAACACATATGGAATCATGTAGTAACCAAAAAAGTGTTAAACAAATCAAAATATATTTTATATTTGAGATGCTTCAAATAGCCACCCTTTGCCTTGATGACAGCTTTGCACACTCTTGGCATTATCTGAACCAGCTTCACCTGGAATGCTTTTCCAACAGTCTTGAAGGAGTTCCCACATATGCTGAGCACTTGTTGGCTGCTTTTCCTTCACTCTGCCGTCCGACTCAACCCAAACCATCTCAATTTGGTTGAGGTCGAGGGATTGTGGAGGCCAGGTCATCTGATGCAGCACTCCATCACTCTCCTTCTTGGGTAAAATAGCCCTTACACAGCCTGGAGGTGTGTTGGGTCATTGCCCTGTTGAAAAACATACGATAATCCCACTAAGCCCAAACTAGATGGGAAGGCGTATCGCTGCAGAATGCTGTGGTAGCCATGCTGGTTAAGTGTGCCTTGAATTTGAAATAAATCACAGACAGTGTCACCAGCAAAGCACCCCCACACCATAACACCTCCTCCTCCATGCTTTACGGTGGGAACCCCACATGCAGAGATCATCCGTTCACCCACACCGTGTATCACAAAGACACGGCGGTTGGAACCAAAGATCTCCAATTCGGACTCCAGACCAAAGGACAAATTTCCACCGGTCTAATGTCCATTGCTCGTGTTTCTTGGCCCAAGCAAGTCTCTTCTTCTTATTGGTGTCCTTTAGTAGTGGTTTCTTTGCAGCAATTCGACCATGAAGGCCTGATTCACACAGTCTCCTCTGAACAGTTGATGTTGAGATGTGTCTGTTACTTGAACTCTGAAGCATTTATTTGGGCTGCAATTTCTGAGGCTGGAAACTCTAATGAACTTATCCTCTGTAGCAGAGGTAACTCTGGGTCTTCCATTCCTGTGGTGGTCCTCATGAGAGCCAGTTTCATCATAGCGCTTGATGGTTTTTGCGACTGCACTTGAAGAAACGTTCAAAGTTCTTGAAATGTTCCGTATTGACTGACCTTCATGTCTTAAAGTAATGATGGACTGTCGTTTCTCTTTGCTTATTTGAGCTGTTCTTGCATGATATGGACTTGGTCTTTTACCAAATAGGGCTATCTTCTGTATACCCCCCTACCTTGTCACAATACAACTGATTGGCTCAAACGCATTAAGAAGGAAAGAAATTCCACAAATTAACTTTTAAGAAGGCACACCTGTTAATTAAAATACATTCCAGGTGACTACCCCATGAAGCTGGTTGAGAGAATGCCAAGAGTGTGCAAAGCTGTCAAGGCAAAGGATGGCTATTTGAAGAATCTCAAATATAAAATATATTTTGATTTGGTTACTACATGATTCCATGTGTGTTATTTCATAGTTGTGATGTCTTCACTATTATTCTACAATGTAGAAAATGGTAAAAATATAGAAAAACCCTTGAATGAGTAGGTGTTCTAAAACTTTTGACCGGTAGTGTACTTCTATGATCCTCTAACCCACTGGGCACAGAGGTCAATTCCGCATCTATTCCACGTTGGTTCAACGTAATTTCATTGAAATGACATGGAAACAACACTGATTCAACCAGTGTGCCCAGTGGGAAATCACTTCTCAGACTGTAACGGGCCAAGGCACACCTGGTTACCTCAGATTATGTTGATGCACATCATGACATAATTCCCTGATTGCATTGTCATTCACACTCATGCCCTCCCACCCTTTGAATAAATGGATTAAGATATGTTTGAATTATGTCTCCGACAGCAATGGAACCTGAGAATTTACTAGTGAGGAGTCACAGGTAAATATTAGCCGTATTTAAGACCACATTGAGAACCCCTGCTCTTGGATAACAAAAGACTTCATCCTCTCCTCCCTTTCTCTCTCGATCCATCGTCCTTCTGTTCCCTCACGGGCTCTCATGCTGTTCCTCCTGCAGTCGTGTTTATTGTGCCCTTCCAGAGAGGTAACGCATTACTCCCTCAGTTGAAATACACTACATTACCAAAAGTATGTGGACACCTGCTCGTCGAACATCTCATTCCAAAATTATGGGCATTAATATGGAGTTGGTCCCACCTTTGCTGCTATAACAGCCTCCACTCTTCTGGGAAGATGTTGGAACACTAGATGTTGGAACATTGCTGCAGGGACTTGCTTCCATTCAGCCACAAGAGCATTAGTGAGGTCAGGCACTGATGTTGGGCGATTAGGCCTGGCTCGCAGTCAGCGTCCCAATTCATCCCAAAGGTGTTCGATGAGGTTGAGGTCAGGGCTCTGTGCAGGCCAGTCAAGTTCTTCCACACCGATCTCGACAAACCATTTCTGTTTGGACCTCGCTTTATGCATGGGGGCATTGTCATGCTGAAACAGGAAAGGGCCTTCCCCAAACTGTTGCCACAAAGTTGGAATCACATTCGGGCAGGTAGCGTTCTCCTGGCATCCGCCAAACCCAGATTCGTCCATCGGACTGCCAGATGGTGATGCGTGATTCATCACTCAAGAGAACGCGTTTCCACTGCTCTAGAGTCCAATGGCCGCGAGCTTTACACCACTCCAGCCGACGCTTGGCATTGCGCATGGTGATCTTAGGCTTGTGTGTGGCTGCTCGACCATGGAAACCTATTTCATGAAGCTCCCGACAAACAGTTCTTGTGCTTCCAGAGGCAGTTTGGAACTCGGTAGTGAGGGCTGCAACCGAAGACAGACGATTTTTACATGCTTCAGCACTCGGCTGTCCCGTTCTGTGAGCTTGTGTGGCATACCACTTCGCGGCTGATCGGTTGTTGCTCCTAGACGTTTCCACTTCACAATAACAGCACTTACAGTTGACCGAGGCAGCTCTAGCAGGGCAGAAATTTGACGAACTGACTTGTTGGAAAGGTAGCATGACGGTGCCACATTGAAAGTCACTGAGCTTTTCAGTAAGGCCATTCTACTGCCAATGTTTGTCTATGGAGATTGCATGGCTGTGTGCTCGATTTTTTACACCGGTCAGCAATGGGTGTGGCTGAATTAGCCGAATCCACAAATTTGAAGGGGTGTCCACATAGTTTTGTATATAATGTATCTGTGCACTTGTGAATGCAAGGGGAAATTACTGTTAGATAAATTAGTGTCCGAGAAGGTAATGTTTACTTTAGCTCCGGTTTAGGCCTACTGTGTGCAACACCTAGCTTTTAGTTCAGTGGGCTAACACAATTTTGAGTCATTCAAACACCTCTGGTTTGATTCCTTGATGATAACATACTATAGAAAGAAACAATGCGCTATAGAGCACCCACAAGTTTCTCTCTTGTTCGCCTCTATCTGACTGGAAGAAGAATCTGAAATCATGGAAACGAGTCCTGTTGGAGAAAGTACATGATACAATATGACCTCATCAAAATTCGACTACATTGAATTCGGTTTGAAAGTACATTCTATGACACAAAATTGAATCAATTATTTCGTATTATGCTTGCCGCTGGCCACTACTGTATTGTGTCTGTAATATGAGTTTTGTCATGCTTGCAGTTTGTTAAAATCTTCTATATTTTGCTTCTGTTTGGTACTCTGAGCGATGTTTATAGATATTCAATACCTTGTGTATGAACTACTTACAGCACTTAGATATTAATAATTGTGAGGATTCATGAAAAGTTCAAATATCGAAATTATCCTAACTTTTAGTGTCCACAAGTCTTTGCCTTTACTGTATCGTTGAAATTGGTAGTAAACACTTGCACATGTCTTACTAGTTCAGAGGATTTGGATTGTATGTATAGATATATAAATATTACACATTTACTGAAAATGATATCTTACGTTCTTGAACAAAATGTGCTGACTATATTGAAATGGAGTGTACAGATCTATTAACCAATCCCATATGAGCCAGTTCTGGTCTGGCAAGCTTGCCCATGATTTAGACCTTCTCTCAGGGTAGTCTTGCTTCTTAAAGCTTTACTGAACCAGTCACTC